TATTTTAAATCAGTTTTATAGCAATAAGAGAATAAAATGTACCATAAATTATTTTTCACTAAATGTCAATTAGTGGTTCTGTTTAAGCACTGCTTCTAAATCCAAAGGAAGAAAGTTGTTTGTGCTAAATATGTTGTTCTGATAGGATGTGTCAAAAATGTAAGTTCATGTTAATTTTAGTCCACTGAGATAAACCATAAAAGTCCTTTATTTTCATTAAAAATACTGCTTTTTTTGCTGACATCTGAAAAAGCTGCTTGTGGATTTTTGCTGCCATTGTTTATTTATTTATTGTTTATTCCTTTATAAAATTTTTGTTGCTATTGTTTTTTGCCAACATCTGAAAAAAAGTGCTTATGGAAAAAAAATGCTTGTGGATTTCTGTTGCCATTGCTTATTTATTTAAAAGTAAGTTTCCCTTATTTTTAAAAAGTTACTGATTTTTTTCTGTGGGTTAAAAAATATAACTGTAATTGGCTCTGGCCAGCCATAAATTCAGGGAGGAAACTAGGCTTTTTCTTGTACTATGAGTAAGTTACCTAGACAAGTGTTCTAATGATCTTGTTTTTATGACAACTACCTCTGTTCAGGATGTATTTATTGAAAACTTCCTTCAACTACTTCAGAGATATACTTTTAAAGCAAAAGTATGATATATTTCTAGCTTTTTGCTAGGGTGAAATACTGCCACTTTTTCTTAGATGGAGGTGGGGAGATGCCATTCTACTATACTGTTGACTCTAACGCAGGACAAATCGGCTCCACACCTTTGTGCCTCGCAGCCCTCATTCATCCGAGCAGATTTTGCCCAATGTGCTCGCTGGTCTGCTCCCCGTGGTATCAGCTGGCACTATCTCATGGCCATCTTTAAAGCAGGCTCCGTCAGGAATTCTGTGCTGTGGGTAACCTCTCTTCCCCTTGGATTGCCCACCAGTCTTGCTCTAATAGAACATCATCCAGGAGATCTACTCTCCAGCATAGTGCTCACAGCCAACAGTACCTAAAATTTTCTAAGAGGATGCATCTTAAGTGCTCTTACCACACATAAGTACACACAAGATAATAGTATTAATAATAGTAATAATAAAGGAGGCAAAAGAAAAGTAGCTCCTTCCAGAAGGTGATGAATATGTCTGTGGCTTTGAAAGTGATTTATGCTCAAACTCATCAAGCTGTATACAATAAACATGTACAATTTTTTACAAGTCAATCATACCTCAATAAAGTGGTTTATAAAAAGTAAATATTTTTTAAAATTAGGAAAAAAAACCTTGGGTCATATCTCTGTTTCAGCTAATGACCCAATATGGCTGGCTGCTAAAATCACATTATATTTTTCTTCCACCAAGATCACCTCTCCTGATCACAGGCTGGGTGAGAATCAGCCTTCTGTTCACCCAGGAATAAAAGGCAATCATCAAGAAGCATCGTGCTATAAAATTCCATTTTCAGGTTTATAAACTCAAGTTATGAAAAACAGGAACATCCAAAATTAATGGGACTAAAGCAATACTTTGAAAAGACATTAGTAAAAGCAGAGATGGTAACCAGTCTCAGTCTGGTTAAAATCGATATTTTCATCTTTAACAACAAAAGCAAAGAAAGAGTGGCATCAGGAAGCCAGGAATAGGTATTTCAGGAAAAGGATCCCAGTACTGGAGTTAATGAGTTTCCCTACGCAAGTCCCATGTGTTCAGGCATGTTGATAGCATCACAGGCGTTATTTCAGGACAGCCAGGATGGAATCGCAGAGCTATGTTATGCAGCACGTGGCTTCTAAGTTCAAGTTTCAGTGAGGATTTCTGCATTTACCCAAAACCCTTTGAAATGACTATGTAAGGATGTAAGCACAATTTTCTACTTCTACATTGTTGGTGTTGCTGTTTTGATATATCTCAAAATTTTTGTAACAGCAATTTGAGACAATGTGATTTGATTAAGTGTGTGAAATTTTCCAGGGTGAGTGCATGTAATTCAGGTTTTTAAATACATGTTATAAAATGCATGTTGCTTATTAGCTTTCTAGCAATCTCTTAACTCTTCCATTTTCATTCCTTTAATTTTTATTAAACGATTTTCTTTTTTCAGCATTATCTCCTTTATTCCTAACTTCAAGGAAATAATTATTTAAATGACCTTACTTTCTACTAACCTCTGGAAATATTTTCCCTATCAGCCCCCATCTTTTTTAGTTATATTTTCTGCAACAATTCTCGGTAGTGTTGTCCAGAGACATAAGAGTTAGCACTTACTGGCCGCTTACTGTGCTCCAGGCACTGCATTATCTCATTTAATTTACTGAAAGCACAGTTGTAAATTCTCCTGTTGCTTTTGCTTAGGAGAATTTGCTAAAGCCCCATTTATTAGTGTGAGAATTAGTAGCAGTTTCCTGCTTGGAGTAGACTAAAAACACATTCTGCTCTGCATTCAAGCCAGGGGACTGAATGTGGCTGCCGGGTCCAGCTGGACATGGGAAATGTCTGGATGATTTCATTTAACGCCTTTAGAAATATTTCTCGCTGGGCTAATTCAAGGAAAATGGCTTGTCATGGATGATATCTGACTATAATAAGCAGCTAAAGTGCTTTCCCAATAAATATTGTAAAATGAAACAGGTGTAAAGCCACAGTTGGAAAATCAGCAGCCGAAGAGTGCTGCAAGGATTATGGGCCAAATTTCCAGCAGAAGGTTAATGCCTGGGAAGTAGCAAGGACCCATGTTAGCAGGGCATTTCCCCCACCTCCAATGCTCTCTAGAAATCCATCATTTATTTAATCATTCATTTAATAAATATTGATACACTACATAGAGGCACTTTTCCGGGTCTTAGCAGGACACGAAGATTAATGCGCTTCAGCCTTAAGGAGTTGCAGGCTAGTGGGATTTAAAGGACCTGGTAGGAGCTCTGGGAAGTGCTGTCAACCCACATATGTGCAGAATGCTCCCTGCTGTGTATAGAGAAAACCCACGTCCCTGAGTTGAAGGAGGTACCACAGGGCAATGAGTCTGGATTGGGTAGAGAGAAAAGACCTGCAGAAGAAGCCGTAAAAGAGCAAGGTGGTGGGTGCTGGGGGCAGGAAACAGCTCCCCTCTCCCCTAGGGGAATACCAGGGTTTAGAGACCTGCAAGGTGAGAGCTGAGCCCAGGCCTGTGGCCCGTGAGGCCTCCCTTCTGTGTAGAGGAGGTGGAGCAGAGGGGTTGGCGGGCGGGGGGGCCCCCCAGGGGCTACCTTGCAGGTCTGTCAGCTGGCTTCTGCTTGCCTACCAGCCCTGAGGCAGGAGTGAACAACACCCCCAGCATCCACTGCAGAGGGAGGAGGGGCCCAAAGCTAGTGTATTCAGCAGAGCTCCAGGGAGGTGGGAGCTGTGGGGTGGAACGGAGGAGCCTTACGTGACCCCAAGAAGGGAGAGCCAAGGTTGTGAGGAAGTCAATGGCTCTTAAGGGAGAGAATGGGCCCTGAGATTCTCCTGACTCCAATACATGCATCATGATGCTGATGATGATGAGGTACTGAACGTTTACTATGTGCTAAACATTTTTCTAGATGCCTTACACGTGATCTCATTTAATCTTGATAACAACTGTATGAAGTAAATAGTATTCTTACCCCCAGTTGACAAATGATAAACCTGAGTACAAGAGAGGTGACAGAAGTTCCCACATCTAATACCCACACAGCTGGATTTCGAACCCAGGCTGTCTGCCCTGGCGTCACACTGTTAATTACTCAGCAATTTTTCCCCCTCAAAAAGGTAATGCTTCAGAGAAATGAAAATCCTTACACTCATGATGCCAGCCCAGCATCAGTCAACACAGGAATCAAAGATGCATCTCAAAGAGCATATAATCAGGATAGCTCAGCCACATCAGTGCAGGACAAGGCTTTGGGGTTTATTTGCTTCATTCTATCTGACTTGGAATTTGAGCAGAAGTTCATGATAATGGGGTGAAGATATTAGCAGGTCCTAAAAGCCAGTAGGATAGATAACCACCCCTGTGATACTCTATGGGAAAGCTAAAAATCATTTTGTTACGATCAACATGTGAGTCAAGACCAGACCACATTTAGACATGAGCTTCCAATGGCTAACATCTCTTAAAATTCTAATATATCATTGCCAAGTGTGGAATTACACAAATGCGTGTGTGCATGCTCATTCATTCAGTCATGTCTGACTCTTTGAGACCCCATGGACTGTAGACCTCCAGGTTCCTCTGTCCATGGAATTTTCCAAGGAAGAATACTGGAGTGGGTTGCCATTTCCTACTCCAGGGGATCTTCCCAATCCAGGGACTGAACCCACGTCTCCTGCATCTCCTGCATTGGGAGGTGGATTCTTTACCACTGTGCCTTTTTTCAGTAATGCTGTTATATCTTGGAGTTTAAAAAAACAAGGAAAATAATACTTCAGGATTTCAGGCTTTGGGCGAGGGACAGAGGGAGAAGGAGATTAATGAAGGCATATTTTAAAAAGTTATGTACACATAAAAAACTGTACATGAATGTTTGTAATAGTTCTATTCTCAAGTAAAAACTAGAGATGATTCAGATGCCCTACAATAAGTNTTTTTAAAATTAATCATATTTATATGTATCAATAGTAATAATGATATGTGGAGAATAAAATTAAAAACATAATACCATTCACAACAAAGAAAATGAATACCTGGATATAAACTAACAAAACATGTACAGAATCTTCATGCTGAAATTTATAAAACATTGAAGAAAGAAATCAAAGACCTAAATAATTGAGGGATATATGGTATTTGTGGATTGAAAGACTCAACATGGATGTAATTTATCCCTAAATCAATACATAGCTTTAATGCAATCTCTATTGAAATCCCCAGCAAGAGTTTTTGTAGATTCAAACAGCATTATTCCAGAATTTGTATGAAAAGGCAAAGTAACTAGAATAGCTAAAAACAATTTTGAAAAATAAAGTGGTAGGAATCATTCTACTTGATATTAAAGATATTAAAGAGATATATGACTTGGCTCCATAGCTTGGGGGTTAGAGTGCTGGTCTTATAAACCAGGGGTGACAAGTTCAAATCTTGCTGGGGCCTAGGCAGAGTGTCTTTGCCATAGGAGGGTGATTCTCTATACTTTGAACTTCCCTGGTTGCTCAGACGCTAAAGAATCTGCCTGCAATGCAGGAGATCAGGGTTCGATCCTTGGGTCGGAAAGATCCCCTGGAGAATGGAACGGCTATTCATTCCAGTATTCTTGCCTAGAGAATTGCATAGACAGAGGAACCTGACAGGCTACAGTCCATGGGGTCACAAAGAAATGGACACGACTGAGTGACTAACATTTTCATTTTCACAATAATCAAGATGGTGTGGTATTGTCAGAGGGATAAATGTATAGATCAGTGGAATAGAATACAGAACCCATAAATAGGCCCACACAAATATGTCCAACTGATTTTTTTCATAAAAGTGCAAGAGCAATTCAATGCAGGCAGAACAGCCTTTACAACAGATATTACTGAAGCAATGAGACATCAGAAGCCAAAAAACAAAATAAAACAGAACAAAAAAGGAAGAGCCTGGCCTTAGCCTCTTGCATGCTGTCTCTCAGCTGTGTCCAAGTCTTCACTACCTTATAGAGTGTAGACCACCAGGCTCCTCTCTCCATGGAATTCTGCAGGCAAGAATACTGGAGTGGGTTGCCATTTCCTTCTCCAGGGGGTCTTCCCAACCCAGGGATTGAACCCAGGTCTCCTGCATTGGCAGTCAGATTCTTTACCACTGAGCCACCAGGGATGCCCTTATAAAAAAATCATCTCAAAATGAATCACAGACTAAATGTACAATTCAAAATTAAGTGTTATAGCTCTTCTAGAATTGGTCTAGTAGGTTTCTGGTCCTTATCAGAAGACCCCTCATAGAATAAAAATAAATGTGAACTATAACTTTTAGAAAAAAACTGGAGAAAAATTGGGGGATGTAGGACTAAATAAAGAATTCTACAAAAACATAATCTATAAAAGGAAAACTGATAAATTAGACCTCATCCAAAACTTTCAATTTTACTATGCAAAAGATCTTAAAAGGATGAAAAGATAAGCCACAAACAGGACTAGAATCTAGAATATATAAAAACTCAACATTAAAAAACAAACAATCTAATTAGGAAATGAGAAAAAAGCATTAATAACATGTCACCAAAGAGAATATACAGATGGCAAGTAAGCACATGAAAAGATGTTCAACAGCATTATCCATCAGGGGAATGCAAATTAAAACTCCAATGATAAATCACCACACACCTTTCAAAGGGGCTAAAATGAAAAGCAATAGCAGCGCCAAATTCTGTCAAGAATGCAAAAAACTGGATCACCTCAGATTGCTGCTGAGAATGAAAAATAAAACTCTGGAAAATGATTTGACATCTCTACACAAAACACAAATGTGACTACCATACAACCCAGCAATAACACTCCTGGACATTTCTCCCAGATCATTAAAATTTATGTTTACATCAACATCTATGTACAAATAGTCATAACAGCTTTATTCATATTTACCAAAAACTAGAAACAACTCAGATGTCTTTCACCAGAATGAATGTGGTACATCCATACCATGGAATACTACTCAGCGATGAAAAGGACAAACTATTGACACACATGGCTCAGATGAATCTCCAGGGAATTAAGCTAGGTGAGAAAAAAAAAAAGAACAATCCTAAACCACAGATTTTGTGACTTTATTTATATGACATTCTTGGAATAACAGAATTATGGACATGATGAACAGGTTAGTTGTTGCCAAGAGAGGACACCATGAGGGATTCTTGTGGTGATAAAAATGTTCTTTTCCTTGACTGCGTCAATGAAATATCCGAGTTGAAATAATGTAAAATGGTTTTATAAAATGTCACCATTGGGAGAAATTGAGCAAATTGTACACAGGATATCTGTACTATTTCTTAGCGATCATGTGAATCTACAATTATCTCAAAATGAAAATTCCATTATTTTTTTTTAAAAAAAACCTACATCTTGGGAACTTGATTGTTTTCTTTTTACATTTTTATCTGTGATTTTTGCTTATAATTTTTTGTAAGTTTCTTTGAAAATATTAGCCGATATGTATATTTAAGGAATTTTTTAACTGTTTGGTCATTTGACACAGTAATTCTAAGCCTAGAAACACAGCCTGAGAAAAAACTCAAAATGCAGACAGAGATGTTTATTGTAACAATATGTGCTAACACAAAATCCTGAAATCAACTTTCTGTCCAACATCTAAGGAGAGATGAAATAAAATATCACATCCAAATGAAAGAATATTCTACAACCATTAAAGAAAAATTTTTTATGCCCCAAATTTCAATCACACGTATAGTATTCACAATGTACAAGGCACTATTCCAAGATCCTCCCAAATAGTAACTCATTTAGTCCTCATAGCAAGCCTCTGAGGTAACTACAATTACTACTGAATGAGGAAACTCAGGCAAAGAGAAATTAAATAACTTGCCCAAAGTTATACAATGAATAAATAGCAAAGCTGGAGTCTGAATGCAGAGAGTCCTAGTTCCAAAGTCTGTACTATTCATCATTACACTATTTAGCCATTGTTGGTTATTATTATTATGGAGTAGAAGTAAAACTTTAAGTCGTATGCTAAAACAATGAAAAATGCAGAATTTTTCTAGAGATATATGGTTGATGACAACTAGCACAGAGAAAAAATGTCAGAGCAGATATATTGCTATAACTGCCTATGGAATCTAAAGTCAAACAGTTTGAACTAAGTATCAGTTCCCCCAATTCTAACCTATATGGCCTTGCATAAATCATTTAACCTGTCTGGGCATGAATTGAATAATCTATGAAATAAAATTTCAAAGTACCTATTTTTCAGACTCATTGAGAGGATTACTGAAGTTAATATGTGTAAAGTAATTCTATTATAGTACATACTCAACAAATGCTAGTTTCTTTTCTTTCTGTTAACATCTGAAGCACTGTTTTTATTTTTATTTTTTTTCCATTTATTTTTATTAGTTGAAGGCTAATTACTTTACATTACTGCAGTGGTTTTTGTCATACATTGAAATGAATTAGCCATGGATTTACATGTATTCCACATCCTGGTCCCCCCTCCCACCTCCCTCTCCACCCGATCCCTCTGGGTCTTCCCAGTGCACCAGGCCCGAGCACTTGTCTCATGCACCCAACCTGGGCTGGTGATCTGTTTCACCCTAGATAATATACATGTTTCAATGCTGTTCTCTTGAAACATCCCACCCTCGCCTTCTCCCAGAGTCCACAAGTCTGTTCTATACATCTGAGTCTCTTTTTCTGTTTTGCATATAGGGTTATCGTTACCATCTTTCTAAATTCCATATATATGTGTTAGTATACTGTAATGGTCTTTATCTTTCTGGCTTACTTCGCTCTGTATAATGGGCTCCAGTTTCATCCATCTCATTAGAACTGATTCAAATGAATTCTTTTTAATGGCTGAGTAATATTCCATGGTGTATATGTACCACAGCTTCCTCATCCATTCGTCTGCTGATGGGCATCTAGGTTGCTTCCATGTCCTGGCTATTATAAACAGTAAAGCACTGTTTTTAAAGAAGGCAGAACATATTCAGATGATCACATCAAAGTATATGCCTCATGATAAATGTACCATCTCCTGATTATAACCAGCAAAATAAAATGGATGCAAGAATCTAAGTGGCTTAAAGGACCATCTTAACTACATAGCCTAAAAAGTTCCTGGGAAATGTACAATCCACAGTGTGTGTAGTTGAAGCATCTCCTAGAGCTTGAATACCCAGCACAAACAGCAGGTGGGTGATTCTCGGTAACAATGTTTACTTGATAAATACAGCAAACACTATAAAACATCCCTTGCAAAGTCCTAAGACTTAACAACATCAAAAGCAAATGTATACCATCCAATCTTTTATGGAACTTTATGACTCTATAAAAATGGAAACAATAGACTATTGCATCAACATACAATCCCAATACAACAATGAGGCTCAAGAGACTCTGAGATACACCATCTGGAGCAAGAGGAAGAGAGAGTGATCAAATATAACTAAACTATCTGTAGCAGGTCCAAACAAGTAGTGTGCTATTACTTACAGCTGGGGACAGATGCTCAGAGACCCTTAAGTAAAGTGTTGTGACTTATGAGTTTTCTTGTCACAAGGATTTTTTAAAAGTCTTTCCTAAAAAAAAAAAAAAAGTCTTTCCTACATAAAGCATGAACCTGAGGCGGAATGGACTATCTGCCATAATACAAAATGTGTTTTACATTGATCATTTTAACAGTCAGGTAATTTCATATTTCATATCAATAGCGATGACAGTAAAATCCTGTGTCTCGAATTCATACAAGCTAAATTTGTGCATAGGTTTTGGAGCTAAATGGAGGTTGGTCTCCTGACCTCTCTCTTTAGCATTAAGGTGACTTTGAGCAAGTCATTTATGTTCCTTTAATTCTCAGTTTTTGTTCTGGTTTCTCTTCCGTAGGTAAGAAGTGGATTTATCCAGATTGAGAGAGAAGCACTCTCCACAGAGTGTGGGCCATCACAGCGGGCGAGTGCCTAAGTCTCAGTTTTATTCAGCTCTAAGGTGAAGAAAATGACTTACCTTGAATAATTGTTATAAGATTATAGATTAGGTATGGAAAAGGAAAATATCAAGTGACCACTAAGTCAACTGCTATTATTATTATTAAATTTAAAACTGTGAAACTCTTTAAACATTAACAATATTTCCTGGGGCAAAATTCATACAGGATGAAATAGATAAAGCCTGAATAGTTCTAAAACAATTAAGTAACTGATTAATAAATACCTGAAAAAAAAATCTTCGGACTCAGATGTCTTCTGTGGTGAATTCTCCCAAACATTTAAAAAAAGAAATCATGCATATATTGCAGTATTATTTTCAGCAGCCAAGATATGGAAACAACTTAAGTGCCCGGCAGTGGATGATTGGATAAAGAAGACACACGTACACACACACACACACACAAAGGAATACCACTCAGCCATAAAAGAGAGTGGAATCTTGCCATTTGTAAAA